TCCTTCAGAGTCCTTATCCGAGATTACTGTTGGATTGATAGACATGGCATGTGCACCTGATCACGTCTAGATTTTCCTCTTGGCTTGATTTCCTTTGGACCTTGATATTAAATAGCACCTCTTTTTGTGCCTGTAGCTAGTTACTGACATGCTGAAGAGCTTTTGGGGTGGTAATAATAATAGTAATTTACATTTGTATAGCATTGTAAGGTTTATCCAGCTTTTTGTGGCTACTGCCTAGAGTAGGAAGGAGGGTGGTACAAAACGTATTATCTTAAGAGGAATCAGAGGTTTTGAGAGCTCTGGTGACTTGCCCAAGGTCACCCAGCCAGTAAGCATCCAGGTCCAGTGCTCTATCCATTATGCATACTGGCTAAAATGAAAGACCACAAGAAAGGAGATATTACCTTGTGAAATTCAACCCAACTTAACAAATATTTTCTGAGCATTGACTGTGAGCTGGCACTGTACTAGAGATGCAAAGACAAAAATAAAATGGTATTTACCATCAGAGAGCTTTCTAGAAGGAGAGGTACATAAAAATTAGGGACAGAATGGAGAAAGGAGAAAATCCAAGTATTGTAGGGGGGAAAATCTGAAGAGGAAAAGAGAACCAACTGAGAAGATCAGGAAAAGTTTCACAAGGAGCCAGCCTGATCCAAAAGTTGGAGATGGGTGTGTATTCCAAGCATGGGGGTACAGCTTCTGCACAGTGCTCAGAGGTGATAAATGCAGCATTGAGTTCAGGGTACCAATGAGCGTCCAGCCTGTTGTGTGAAGGCAGAAGCTGGAGAAGAAGGGTCATAGCCAGCTCTTAGCTGAGGGTCAAGCTGAGACATTTCTCTTGTGACCTAGAGGCAATGAGGGAACCCAGCTGTGAGTGAACTGGTCTGATCTGTGTCTTAGGAAAATGATTTTGGATGGATTGGAAAGCCTACCTAGTCTAGTGCCTGGCACATAGTAGTTGCTTAAATAAATGCTTTATTGATTGAGAGGGAGAAACTGGAGGCTGGAAGTCCAATTAGTCCATAAGACTTAAGATTCTTCTCAGTTTTTCTATGTGTATCTCTATGTCTGTGTGTGTTTCTATTTCTGTGTTGTCTCGAGTATTGCTCTCTATTTGTTTCTCTCTCATTTTCTCTTGGTGAGCCTGTATCTTAGTATGTTTGTCTTTCCCTTCTTATTCCTCTCTATGTCTCTCTCTTTCCTTTGGAATTTCTTGTCTTTCTTTCCCTTAACTAGCTATAACATAGAACCAAGTATGTATTTTAAAATACAAATTGTTTTATGGAAAAGAATTGTTTAAAATTAATATTTTTTTCCCAATTACATGTAAAGACTATTTTTATATTCATTTACCAAAAAAAATTGAGTTCCAAATTGAGTGGTTTGCCATTTCCTTCTCCAGCTCATTTTACAGTTAAGGAAACTGAGGCCAACAGGGTTAAGTGACTTGCCCAGGGTTACACAGCTATTAAGTATTTAACTTGCAAAGATGAGTCTTCTTCACTGGCATTTTATTCACTGCACCACCTAGCCGGCCAAGCTAGCCCAGGTCTTTAATAGACAAATAAAAATAAGATAGACACCCCATCTTTGCTCTGGGCAGTGACTTACTTCATTCTGCAACCCTCCTTGACTCTTGAAGAGCTGAGAGGGGCAATCTCCTGTTAAAAGAGGCTTTCTGTCCTGAAACAATGTGCTTTTTCTTGATGTTTTCTCCAGATCCCTGGTTGAGGGTGGGAGAAGTCTGCCCCCAGGTTTCCTCGCTGCCTGGCACTCTTCTGGAGGGGCTGGTAACTCTTTGGTTCTCTTGCTGGTCATAGTGCAGCCCCTCGCCCCTCCCTAGCCTTTGATTATAGCTCTCAGGGCCCCCTATTGGGCTGCCCTTGGAGCCTGCTGTAGTCACTCTCTGGATCAGCCTTTGTGTTTGTCTTGTGTTGGGAATCCTGCATATCCAGGAGATGTTAGGTTGTGGGTGAGGCCAGCCCCAAAGGGGTTTTCCTGAGCTTTAGCCTGGGGTGGGGGGCCGGACCTGGGAAAGAGGAGTGACTTTGGGTTTATATCTCGGTCAACAAACCTTTACTAAACCCTCTAATCACCGGTTCTCTTTTCCTATGGGGATACTGCCCTTGGTTCTTGACGGTTGCTTCTTTCCCTTAGCAACAGAGCCCTTTCCAGAAAGCTGGGGAGAATATGGATTGGGCTTTGTTTGCAGCCTTTCGCATCAAAACCAACCTGAGGAGCTGCCCCTGAGAGCCGGGGAGTGGCCAGAAAGTAGAGAAACTGAGCAATGAAAAGGAGAGCAAAGGTTGTCCTTGGGCCCCCTCCACCCTCTAGGCTGTTTCTGTCTCCTGGTGGAGATCCCGCCCTCAGGCTTCTTACTGAGATGGGCCTCCGGGCCTCGCCCTCCCTTGCTTCCATGTCCTCCTGCTGGTTGAGGTCAGCACCTATTAATAGCCAGGGAGTTATCCAGTTTAATCCTCCCTATGGGCTGGAGAGAAGGTAGGGAGAAGGAGAGGAAAGTCCTGGGAAAGTAGAATGAGCACTCTCTCTGCTTGAGCTTGTACTCCACAGTTGTTGCCATGTCTTCATACCATAGGGACTAATAACCTTTAGTTCATCATTTCTTATGTGATTTGGAATTAAAGCACTAGACCTGGTCCAACTGCTCTAGGGATTGGTTTGGAATCATTGATGAGGGCACAGGATGTGCCAGGTATACTCAAGCACAACATGTCTTCAAAAAGTGGGCATTTTGTGTGTCATTTAAAAGTTTATATTTTTAAAGTTTAGTTAATTTTAAAAATCAGTTGTAGTTTCTTTAGTTTGACCAATAATCTATCATTCAGCAAATGATCAACTTTAATTAATTTAGAAAATACAGTTTCCTGAGTTGCATACACTAATGAAACATGCCAGAGGAATCATTTCCCCTTTCCCCTAACCCCCTTAACTGGGATAATCTGAAGAAGATTTACCCTGATGATCTAGCTAGGTAGGGGCAAAGTCAGAAAATGAACAAAGGAATGGTGAAGAAAGGTCTAGTCTGGTGATATTTGTACCATTGAAATTTGTGAATTCTTTTCCATACTGGTCTCCAGGGCCAGGCAGGAATGTGTCAGGGAAATTGGAGCATGGTAAGCATTGAGACACCTCACCTCCTTCCATACCCAGGAGAGATGGAGGGAAGTGGTTAGGGCCCTCCCAGAGATGTTGTGGACTTTGAAACCCAGTATCTGATAATTTCTTCTCTACCTTTTGACTATTTGTAAAGAATTTTATGGGAAAATGGGCTGGAACTCTAGCTAGCCAGGAAATAGGGGCCATTAGGAATGGTTTTCCACTCTCTACTCCCAAGGTGTCTGGGGGTAGAGGTTGCAGAATCTTATTTTATGGGCTTAAAGGGAGGCTGGGATATCTCAAATTATCATCAGGCCAGTTCAGGTTAACCTACTGTTTTGTCCCCAGTTCTTACCCTTTACATTCCCTTCATTCTATCAAGAAAAGAAAGGCTAGCAGACTGGGTCACTGCAAGAAATGGGCACTGGTTGGGGGTGAGGAGGGCCCGGAGAAGAGCAGCAGACTGGGCTTGGACAGAGGACCGACCTGGCAGAGGTCAAGCCTCTGATGCTTAACACCCTTGGGTGACCTGGGAAAAGTTATTCCACCTCCCTGGATCTCTGTTTGCTCAGCTGCAAAATGAGGGGATTGGACTACCTGGCTTCTGAGCTCCTTTCTAGCTAGTAGTCGGAAAGCTAGGTGAAAAAACTGCAGGATAATCATGAAGTCTTTGGTTTCTTCCTCTTCCCCTTTTGGTTTCTGAAGTCATCCTTTCACTTCTTCAAAGGTATTTGAATTGGGAGGGCTAAAGGCTACAGGGCTGCTGGGTGAAGAACTGGGCTTTCAGTCTTGCCTCTGCCCCTTCTAACCTGTGTTGTGTGACCTGGGGCTAGTCCCCTCACCGAGCCTAGGTTAGATAAATGACTTCTAGCTTCTAGCTCTTAAGCCTGTGATCCTGTGAATAAATACTTTGCCCAGGGACCTTGTGGGGGAGGGGTATTCTCCCCTCTCTGTGGGATTGCCTATCACAGATTAAATGTTTCACCAATATTTGTAGAATTGAGAATTTAGAATTTAATACTCAGGGTCTTGCTTCATTATTCTTCCCTCGTCCCATTACTGGTTACCGATCTACTCTTAAAAGTTGTTCAGTGAAAGCTTACTTTAGGTTGAAAAGAAGATGGCAGAAGAGTTCTCTCCAAGTTGTAGGAAATCTAAAATAGGAAATTTTTTAGAGAAATGCAATTATTCTTTTTCCAGTACTATAATGAACAGATACAAAAGACTGCTAATTACAATGGGCTAAGCTCATAAATTACCATTCTTATTAGAATTTAACAATTGTGTTTCATGTTAACATATCATAAACATCAAAGTCCTGAGTAATGCTATATTTGAGTAACATTTGCCAGTGTCAGAATTAGTACAAATCCTAAATTCTTATAGCCCGACTTAGCATATTTTGTTCATCACTTTTCTCCCCCCACAGGGATATTATCACAAGAATGCAGAGGTGCAGAAAGGACTAGACAGGCAGGTCCAGATCACCTGGGTGCTGTCTGCTCCTACTGAAGACTTTGGCCTTTGAGGCAACGTGGTATAAGCAGTGGTATGGTGAATTAGAATTCAGGAAGACTTGTGTTCAAATGCAGCCTCTCATGCTTGTCTGCCATGTGACTGGGAAGATGACCTTACCTCCCTGAGCTTCAGTTTGCTGCTGTTGTTGAGTTGTTTCATTTGTGTCTGACTCTCCCATCACTCCATTTGGTGGCTTTTTTTTTTTGGTAAAGATCCTGGAATGGTTTGCCGTTTCTTTCTCCAGCTCATTTTACAGATGAGGAACTGAGGCAGACTGGGTTAAGTGACTTGCCCAGGGTCACACAGCTAGTAAGTATCTGAGGCCAGTTTGAACTCAAGTCTTCCTGACTCCAGGGCCAGGGCTTTATCTACTGTATCACATAGCTTCCTCACCTGCAAAACGGGGCTGATAATACCTGTAGTACCCACATCACAATTGTGAGGCTTACATGAAACAGTGTATATAAGGCTCATTGCAAGAGTGGCATGCTGATATCAGGTATTACCGATGTTGTTATTAACACGAGGAGGTTGAATGACATGGCTTATTTCCCTTCAGCTCTAATGTTCTCTGATACTGAGTGTAATGAGATCTGATGGTGTAAAGCAGGCCCAAGGGAGTTCTGTGACCTGACGTGTGTTGTGCCTAAGGTGCGCTCCCCTTTGGCCTTAGCACATTGATACATTACCCATACCTGGTGTTATGGAGCTTAGATGTGCGACTTGGCTTTCTTGTGAAAAGGGGTGTCAGTGTACAAGAGTGAATCCAACCAAATTGAAGAGTCCCCCAGAGGATATACAGGGACATAGATTTAGAGCTGGAAGGTACCTCGGTGGCCTTCTAGGCCCACCACCTGAAGTAACAGTCGAGGAAACTGAGGCTCACAAAGATGAAGGCACTCGGTCGCATAGCCAATAAGTGTCAGAGGGACGATTTGAACCCAAGTCTTTCTGACTTCAGTCCAGCACTCCATCCAGTATACCACATGGACCGAAGAGAAGGCAGTATGGCTGAGGACAGCAAAATGATACCACAAAAGGAATTAGCTCATTTCAGCTGCATAAGGTATAATTACTGTCATTAAAGCTGAAATCATAGCTTTAGCCAGAGAGACCCAACTCAACTTTTAAATTGTTTGTTTGTCCTGATGTGTGTCTCCCCAAGAGCCTGTGGGGTGGGTTTGTGGGGATTGAGGGTTTTGTGGGTGGGATGAAGTATTCTCAGATTTTTGAGGCCCTGGGATCAAGTCTCTCCATGATAAGAAGGATCACTCCCCTAAAGGGACATTCCTAAGTAGGAAGCCCCCTTCCTGAGGGAGAAGAGCAAGTTTGGGAAGGGGGAAACTGTCCACAAAGTCAAAACCAAAAATAAAAGGAAAGATGTAGAGTTGTATAGAAGAAAGAACAGCAGACTGAGAGTCTAGAAATTTGGGTCTTAATCATATAACTACCATATAGGACCTTGGGCAAATCATTTCATTTCTCTGGGCCCCAATTTGTTCATGTGTAAAATTACTAGATGGCCTCTGAGGTCCCTCCCAGTTGTAAAATACATATGATAGAAGAAAATAAAACTGAGCTCTACAGGTATACACAGATAGAGCCATCCATTGGGATGAGGAACTCCTCGCACACTACAGCTGCCCCCACTCCCTACCCCCACCTGCCCATGCTCTTCTATTTCAGTTGATTGGTTCAATTTAGCTGACTTTAAGAGAATTATCTGTTCTCCTCTGTTCTCTATCCTACCTAGCTTCTCAGGCCCTGAGTTTCTCTGGCCACCAGGCCACTCTTGCCTTTCTTAGAGTTCTCCTTGATATTTGTCTCTTTCTGCTTGGGGGTCTTTCCCTTATTAGCAGGAGTTAGTGTTAATAGCAGATTGACAGAGACAACAATTGAGACACCCACCCCCTACCCCATCTTTTTTTAAATTAAATTTTAGTTTTTTTCAGTTAATATCTATTTTCTCTCCCTATCCCACCCTCACCATTAAAAGAAAACTCCTTGGAACAAATATGCCTAGTCAAGCAAAACAAAATGCCACCTTGCCTTAGTCAAAAAACTATATGTTTCATTCTGTACCCTGAATCTGTCACCTTTCTTTCAGGAGACTGCTTCACCAACAGTCTTCCAGAATCATCGTTGGTTATTTATTTGATCAGAGTTCATTCGACTTGGTTGTTATTATATAAATTAATTTCTTGGTTCTGCTCACTTCACAACAAGCCTTCCCAGGTTTCTCCAAAACCACCCTCATCATTGTTCTTTATGGCACAATAGTATTCTGTTACATTCAAATATCATAATTTGTTCAGCTCTTCGTCCCCAGATAGGCACTCTCGTAGCTTCCCATTCTTTGCAGCATTCTAGCAGGCATTTATTCAGCAGCTGCCACCTGCAAGGCATGGGGAATACAAAGACAAAACAAATGTGACAATCTCTGTTGTCAGGGAGCTTACGTTCTATCGTAGAAGACAGCATGTATCAGTCATTCATCAAGTGTTAAACGTGTGAGTATATTCAGAATAAATAAGAAAGAAATGCAGGGTAGTTATTGAGGGAGGAAAGCAGTTGGGGAGATTAGAAGGTGGTGTTTGTGTTGCATCTTGAGGCAAAGGGAAGGAGCTAGTGGGTGTGGAGCATGGCTGGGGCAAATGTACAGAGTTGGGTGATGGACAGCTGTGTATCAGGAAGGAGTTCATCCTGCTTAGACTCTAGTGTATGAGATGTAGAGTAATAGTGTGATGAAACAAAACAGAACAAATTGTCGAGGACTTTACAAGCCAAAGAGAACATGGTCATATATGGGGTAGACAGTGATTTGGGCTCCCCTGTGGAGGATGGCTTGGAGAAGGAATTGACTGGAAGCAGGGAGACCAAACTGGGAAACCTTTTCAGTGATGCAGGTGAGAGACGATGTAGACCTGAACTAAAAATGATGCCTGTGTAAGTGTAGAGAAGGGACCTGACGTGAGATGTTATACAAGTAGAAACAGAAATTGTTTGTGAAGTGAATGAGCATGAACGGCCGAATATAATGCTGAGGTTTTGAACTTTGGAGACTGGAAGAATAGTGCTCCAGACAGAGGAGAGCTGGGTAGAGGGGAGGACAGCCTAGGGAAATGATGGTGAGTGTTGTGTTGGACAAGTTTGTTCTAACATGAGGGGAGGGCTGATTGGGCTTTGTTAACCTGGGAAACTTAGGAAAATCCATAATGAGCATAATTAGACTGCTCTCATCAAATTGTCTTCACCATAGACTTGACACTGCGATCATCCCAATGTCAGGACAATTAAAGAAGGCCTCCAGCTTTTTAGCTGGACCCCCGTGGCAAACTTAAGACACAGACATTCTCACCAGATGGGCTGATATGGATGGGTTGTGACTGGCACACACATCAGTGAATCACAGATCCATTTGAATTGAGTATTTGCTGGTAATTAGAGTGGGCGCTCAGTTTGTTGTTGCTGTCTTAAGATTTATGAACATAGTATTCTGCCAGATACACTTAGCAAGAGGTAGGCAACAGCATGGCATTGACATGCTCTTCACAAGTCCTTCTGTCTTTGTGATGTTTCTGCATGTCTGTACATGTGTGGGGTTTACATGGCCCCATTTATGGATTAAGCCAATCCTTATCATCTGTTTTCCCTCTCCGGTGTTTTGGGACAGTTAGAGAAATGAACTTTCACTGCCCTGTGGATGAAGGTCTAAGGAGTGAGAAATCCTCCAAAGACAAGCCTCTGCCTGTTCTCAGAAGCCCAAGCTGGGAAACTCAGCAGCTTCCCACAGCTCTGGTCATTTGTGGGCTTTTCTAGTTCATACCCTCCTCTTTTTTGTGTAAAGTGGACAGCCCCCTCCCTAATTGCAGCTCTTGAATGGTCTAATCACAGCCTGGGCTAATTTGTTAATAGCTTTGGGAACTAAGAAAATGTGCCTTGGGCTATCTCATGAGCCATAGATATGCAGCTGTGTATGTGCCATGGGAAAATTATATTTTTGTGGAAAAACGAAGACAGGGATATTTGGATCTGTGTGTCACCTTTATACCCTGTTTGTGGGCATATTGTCCCATAGAATGAAAACTCCTAGAGGTGACTCTTGTATCCCCAGCACCCAGCACAGTGCCAGGCATATAGTTAGTTAGTCGGGGCTTAATAAATTCCTGTTGAATGAATGAGTGAATGTCTGCACGTTGTGTACACATACAGGTACACAGGGCATGTCTAAGCATAAATAAGGTCTTTGACGTAGCACCTACCTTTTGTCAGTAGCTCTCAGTATACTCTATGTGATTTAGGAGAACAAATCATGTGTAAGTCTGAATCTCATTCATACCCCCAAAGCCCCTGACCCTTTGTAGACCCACCTCCTGTAAAATGTATTTCCCTAGTGGAATGTCAGCTCCTGGAGGGTACAAACTGTCTCACTTTTGTATTTGTATTCCTAGTGCTTAGCATCGTGTCTGGTGGTGTGTAAGTAGGCACCAAATAACTGCTTGTTGATTATTTAATTGATTGATTCATCAGGACAAAAACTTTTCTTCCAGGTGACTATATGTGTTCAGGCTAAGCCTACATGTTCTTCTATACAAATAAATGCTCCTGCAAAGGAGAGAGTACTTTTGGAGGGGAAATTTGTGGCCCAACTGGTAGGTTTAGCCCTTGGTCCCTGTTATTTCGTTCTCCTCTGATTCACTGTCTTGTTCCCTAGGAAAGTCACATTTGGCCATTGTGCAGAAGGTGAACAACGAGGGTGAGGGTGACCCTTTTTATGAAGTCTTGGGATTGGTGACTCTGGAGGATGTCATTGAGGAGATCATCAAATCGGAGATCCTGGATGAGTCTGATATGTACAGTAAGGCTCACTGTTTCCCTTTTCACTGCCTCATAGTAGATCATCAAAAGTTATTCTCCCCCACCCTTCCGCTTTTTTTAGAGTCTATTAGTCCTGACTAAGAGCATGGCAACAAGGGCACCATCCTTCCAAGAAGGCTTGGAGGCCCTGCCAACAGCCTGATGTTCAACTAGCTGAAGGCATTATTATGTGTTTCCTCCTGTTTTTCACATGTCACCCACAGCCTTAGGACTATGAATTGACCTAGAGTTCTTTATGCTTGGGTTGAAAGGGTCAGAATATGGGAGAAACAAAATTCTTTCCTATGTGGGGCAATTCAAAGTGACAAGACCATGAGGTCAACCTGAACCCGAACCCTTTCTCTTGCAGTTGACAACCGGAGCCGAAAACGAGTAGGCAATCAAAGGAACAAGCGAGATTTCTCAGCTTTCAAGGATCCTGACAATGAGATGAGAGTGAAAGTCTCACCCCAGCTGCTTCTGGCTGCTCACCGATTCCTGGCCACTGGTAAACCCATGAGGAAGGAATGGTGGGGTAGGGTGGGTGGGGTACTCATTTGTGAAATAGAATGTATAATTTTCTAGGAGATCAGAGATGGTGATTTTAAAAAACCGAGACATTTAGCCTCTTGCCTCTATGGAGTAATGCAATGGGATAAAGAGTGTGTGAAGGGTTAAGGACAATATATCTGCCCCTGGAGAGGATAAAGCTTGATTTTCCCCTGGGATTGCAGATTGTTTGCATTGTAAACGACTGTCTATTCCACACTCCCAGCAAAAATCTAGAGTTAGAGGCTAAAGATCATAAGGGACCATAATGAAAATGGTGCTTGTGCCAGGTCACTGGGGAGGAGATAAAGTTGGCATCAGGCAGGGGATGGTCTGTGTAGGTCCTTTGGTGACACATCGCTTTGGGTAGCCCTATACAAGGACATGTCAAAGGGAAGAGGAGGCATTTATAACCCTAGTGCCTGTGCATTCGAGATACATGTTCTCACGCTCATGTAACAGAGTCATATATGCAATATTTTTGCCACCTGTGACTAGTCCACGGTCCTCATTTAAATTTTGGAAGGGTTGCTCTTCGTTTTGCTTCCCTTATCACTTCCTCCATCTTATAGTTCCCTGAGAAAAGAGATGCCAAAATAGACATTCCTGGGTTCTTACCCTTATCTCAGGGAGATCTTGAGGGCCCGTGGCATACCTTTCTTCTCTCCTGCTCCTGCTCCTCCCTCTTCCCAATTCCATTCCCTCTGCCTCCAAACTGATTCCCTCATCCTTGCTTCTACAGTAGTTCTCCTGTCAGAATCCCTTGAGGTCAGGAATATATGACATTTCCCCTTATTAGTGATGGGAGACAGGTACATTAGGGATCTGGAGCCTTCTCTGATAGGGATCTAAACCAATAGTGAGACCAGTTCCAGTATAGGAACTTTAAGTGCCCTTCTTTCCAAATGCAGACACAGAGAAACTGTTAACTAGATGCCTCATTCTGAAAGTTTCTATAAGCAACTGCCAGGGGCAGGGACACTCCTATGGCAGCATTATCTCCTTTCCTCCATAGAGTTGCCCCTATTCAGTTCCTCAATGATGTCTGAGAAGATCCTCCTTCGTCTGCTGAAGTACCCAGATGTCATTCAAGAGCTGAAGTTTGATGAACGCCATAAACTTAGTGCCCGGCATTACCTATATGTTCAAAACAAATCTGCTGACTACTTCATCCTCATATTACAGGTAAGCTCCCCCTTTCATTTCCTAGCTTCCCAGCTTCATGATACCTGGTCCCATTCCTTCCTGCCTTCTCTCTGGACTTTACCACCGGACCTGATCTCCTTTTACCCTACTTCTCTTACTTCCCAGCCTCAAGCTGCATACTGATCTCCTATCATGATGATGTCTTGTGCACATAGGGAACTCAGAACTCTGCCCTTCCACCTTTTGAGCTTTGTTGTCCTGATCACAGAAGACTTCAAGGCACAATACTAGAGAGGTCCCTCTTTGTCCCACTGTCTCTTATCCTTAAGAGAGAGCTACCCATTCCCAATCCTTGTCCCTTTAAAGTTCTAAAAATAGTTTTCTTCATCTTAGCTAGATGGAACCAAATTACCCCACCTTCTTTCTACCTTTCCTCTTTTTCTGGTCTTGTTTTCCTCTTTTCTTTATTTGTAGCCCTCATATCCATGTCCTTTCAGGGAAAGGTGGAAGTGGAAGCTGGGAAGGAGAATATGAAGTTTGAGACAGGTGCATTCTCCTACTATGGAATCATGGCACTTACTACTCCTCTTAACACAGGTGAGTTGATATGTTGTAGTTGACACTCAACTTGGGTCTAACATGGGAATGTCAAAGCTAAGCGACCACAAGTTTTTATGTGTATGCAGAAAAAGTATGAGAGTTGGGCTCTGCCCTCAAGGAATTTTCATTCTAGTAGTCTCAGAGACAAAAACAACACGTGAAACAATAGCATAGAATACATGGTGGCATGTAATGAAATTCTAAGCTGAATGTAAAAACCATAAATAGTCATTGGAATTCAGAGGAAAAGGAAGACTACTGAAGTCAAGAGTAGGCAAGGAAACTTTCATGAAGTAGGTGGGACTGTGGATAATAAGCATGACAGTCATAATTGGGAAGGTTGAATAGGCAGAGAGGGGCCAAAATGTGATGGGGAGGCCAGGAAATAGGGTTTAGATTAGACTTGATGTGCTAGGAAGGAATTAGGGAGCCATGGATGGTTTTTTGAACAGAAAAAGTGACATAAGAAAGGCATTGTTTAAGGAAGATTGATTTAATGTCAGTATGTATGCAAGAGGAATGAGGGGGTAGGAGAGGCTCAACAAATCAGGAAGGTGTTCTTTTGAACAACACAGATGTAAGCAGATGAAGGCTTAGTGAGTGTTGAGTGATTGATTGATCGGGATTGAGAAGGAGGAAGCTAAGGGAACTCCAAGGTTTCAAGCCTGGGTATCTAGGAAAGTGGTGATGACAGAGATAGGGGAATTGGGAGCAGAAGTTTGTTAAGGTGCTCAGGGTGGATAAGAAAATGAGTAAGTCCCAATCTCCAGTTGGCTTGGGTATTTCCTTTGGCTAAAATTTTATTCTAATGGTATAAAGAAACTCAAGAGAAGAGATCCGGCAGATTCATAGTAGAAAACAAAGCTAAGGATTTAGAAAAGCTTAATGACAGAGCATAGATGCATTGGGTCAAGGATTAAGGAATAAAGAAGGAACTGGACATTTGAGAAAAGAAAGTTGAATATCTAGGTAATATTGTGGCAGGTTAAACTTGGAAGCACGAACAAGTCATCAGGCTTCCTTTCTGTCATCCACGTGCTAGTTGTCTGGTCTGTACTATCCTAGTCTAGACAGCCTATGGAAAGGACTGGCTATGGGATCATCTACTTAAGGCAAGTAACTTTGGACTAACCACTCAAACTCTTCTGGGTCTTAGTTTCTTACCTGAAAATTGAAGGAGTTGTACTGATGGTCTCCAAGGTGAACGTGAAGCCTCACTATTTGGTTCCTTTGAGAACATGGAATGTTTAACTTTTTGAGGGGTGGAGGGTTAGGGTGCTATTGAACCATTTCTCTGGTTTGACACACAAAAGCACCCTCTACTGGTGGCAACTACACACTGCAATGTTTTCAGGACCTTTTTTTTGTCAACCAACAGGCATTTATTAAATGCCTATGTATGTGATGGGTCACTGTGCTGAGAGAGGAGGAAGGTTGTAAAGAGAGTGACAAAGACAAAAATTAAGCAGCCTTTGCTGTCCAGGAATTTACATGTTATATGACTGAGTTCTTTCTGCTGCCTTTTTTGGGGACGGTCCTTCTTTTGGAGACCTTACTTTAGGCACATACCTTTTCTTTCCTGTTGCTTGTGTCCCCTGAGAGAAGGCTTCTGGGGCTATCAGAGTGACTTCATCTGTGCCAGTACACGACAATTTCTATGTCCCTCTATCCACCCAATTGATGCAAAAAAGGTGTGTAGGCCTTCCATTTCCTCCTGTACCTGTCCCTTGAGGGAAGACAAAGAGGAAAGTCAGTGGAGACTGGACACTTCCATCTCTTGCTGAGCAGTTTCCTGTACTAGCCTTCAGAGGGAAGAGGAGTGGTGAAATAGGGCCTCCTATCTGACCATCTCTCTCTGCCTTTTATCTTGTGTTCCATTCGTCTCCAGCCCCATCTACAGCCTCTTCTGAAAAGAGGAATGCCACTTTCCACTTAATGATGAACATTCTCATACCTGCTCATACCCTACTAATTTCAGTTATTCTGAACCCCTATAGATCACCATCCAAACCCCACCCCCACCCCTCATCCACCACCCGCTTCCTTATTCCCATCCTTCTCAACCCTCCCATTCCAAAGGTCCAACCAAATGCCATCCTGCCACTGTGCCTTCTCTAATGCCTGTTCCATAGGCAACAAACTTCCCTTCATCCTAAATATTTTCATGTCTCATTCCTTTCATCTTCTAGCTGTTACTGAAACCTGGCTCCTCCCTGATAGCACAGTGTCCCTGGCCACCCCTTCACTCTTTCCCCTTGATCCAATGGTTGAGGCTGAGAATTGGATTACTCCTTGCCTCCTATTGCCACTTCCAGGTTCTCTCCCCGCTTCTGTCACTCAGTAACTCCTCTTCCTTTGAGGTCCATGCTTTTCATATCTACCACCCAGGTAAAATCTTGGTAGTTGTCTGTAGAACCCCAGGTCACTCCCTTTTCTTCCTCTATGAGTCTGATACATGACTCACAGTTTTTTTTCTCCTCCCCAACTCCTGTCCTACTAGGAGACTTCAAAATCCATAGTGACTCTCCCTCAAACACCCTAACCACTCAGTTCTTCAACTGACTGAGTTCCTGTGACCTACTCCTCCACTTCATATCAGTCACACACAAAGATGGTCATACCCTTGATCTTGCCATTAGCCATAAATGAACCAACTCTGTGTTTAGGAATTCTGAAATCCCCTTATCCGACCATAATCTGTAGGCTTTTCACCTTTTCCTCTGTCTTCCCTTATCTGCACACTGTGACCTTCAATCCCTCCACCCCTCAGTTCTCTCAGACCATCACCCCAGCACTAACCACTTGCTCCTCTTTTCCCCATCTTGACCCTTTTGTGAACCAATTCTACTCTATATTGTTTTCTTGAATCCCTAACCCTTTATCAGAATGCCAGTTGTACCCTGACAAGCCTCAGCCTTGGATCACTTCCATCATTTGTTGCTCCTACACACATTCTGCTGAATGAAGGTGGAGAAAATCATACAACAGTTCTAACTGGGTCCACTACAAATTTATTTCACAACCTCAACTGGACCCTCACTGCTGCTAGGCAATCCTACTATACCTCCCTTATCAACTCACTATCCCACTCTCCACAACAGCTTTTTTTTTCCCCCATCAGAAACAAGGTTTACTGTATTACCAATAGAAGTGGGCAGGGTTTTAACAATCTGTGCATTTATGACATTTAGAATCTGAGCAATTTAATAGGGGCAAGATGTGGGAAGATCTGGATATAATCAAGGAGTGGCCAATAGCCTGGTTTGGAGGTAACAGAAGAGGTCTAGATGGGATTAAGGGTGGGCTATAGCCTGGGGTAGGGCCAGGTGAAGACAATGAGGGCCACAATGAAAGGGCAGCTAACTGGGAAGGGCCAGGTGCCTCAGGCAAATGCCAGGGATCTGGGCCATGTGTAAAAGTCCAGGGCCTTTTAGGGGTCCATCATTAGTGCCCCATCATTCTCCCCTCAAACAAATGGGACCCAAATTCTTTTGGAGTAAGAGACGAAGGTCTTGGCTTCTGAAACTGCTTCTTGCTGGCAAGGGTGTAGGGCTGTCCCCACCTCAAGGGGGTCCAGAGAGGAGGTTGACTGGAACTGAGCACAGGCTGTGTCCAGGGGATGATGGGGGGACATTGTCTGGTATGCTCATTTGCTACCATCTGTAATCTGGAAGACACAGATCTGACAAGCAGGTTCACAGCAGCTCTTCTAAATGTTTTCATCTGTCCTCAAACCTTCCATGGTCCTCTCACCCCCACCCCCCTTCTCCCCACCCTTTTAGCTGAGAATCCTGCCTCATATTTTAAAGAAAAAAATTGAGGCCATTCACTGAATGCTCCCTCTTCGCTACTCTTCCTCATCTCCTATCACTCAGATGCCTTCTTCCACTCTCTCCTCCTTCACCTATCTCACATGAAGAGGTGGCTTCACTCTTTACTAAGGCCAACCCCTCTACCTCCATAAGCCATTCCATTCCTTTCTGTCTCCTACATATTGCCCTTTTGTCATCCCCATTTTATCACTTATTTTCAATCTCTCTATTTCAACAGCTTCTTCCCTACTGCCTACAGACATGCCCATGTCTCCCTCATCCTCTAAAAACACTCACTTGATCCTTCCATCCCTGCTAACTATCCTTCTATATCTCTTCTTCCTTTTGTGGCAAAAGTTCTTGAAAAGACCATCTACAATAGGTGCCTCCACCTTTTCTCCTCTCACTCTCGTCTTAACTCCTTACAATCTAGCTTCTGACTTCATCATTCCACCCAACTGCTCTCTCTAAAGTTACCATGATTCTTAATTGCCAAATCCAATGGCCTTTTCTCAGTCCTCATTCTTGACCCCCCTGCAGCCTTTGGCACTGCTAATTATCGTCTTCTTGATAATCTGTCTAGATTTTCAGGATGTTAACTCCATTCTGATTCTCCTCCTACCTATCTGACTGCTCCTTCTCATTCTCCTTTGCTGGATCCTCTTCCAAACCATGTTCTCTGACCATCAGTGTCTCTTGGGGTTCCCTCTTGGGCCCTCTTCTCTACCTATACTACTTTCTTGGTGATCTCATCAGCTCCCATAGATTTAATTACTGTCTCTGTGCTGGTGATTCTCATATCTATCTCTACTGCGCCAGCCTCTTTGTTGACTTCCAATCTTGCATCTCCAGCTACCTATCAGATATCTCAAACTGGATGTCCAGTAGCACCTTAAACTCCACATATCCAAAATAGAACTCATTATCTTTCCCCTGAACCCTCTCTCCCTCCTATCTTCCCTATTACTGTTGAGTGCAACACCATCTTCCCAGTCCCTTAAGCTAGCATTATCCTCTACTCATAACTATCTTTCACCTCCTACATGTCCAATCTATTGCCAGGACCTGTTGATTTCACCTTTGTACCATCTCTGGCATATTCCCCTTCTCTCCTCTGACACTGCCACCACTCTAGTGCAGGCCCTCATCACCTCATGCCTGGATTATCTGCAATAGCCTGCTGTGGTGGGTCTGTCTGCCTCAAGTCTTTCCCCACTCCAATCCATCCTCCATTCAGCTACTAAAGTGATTTTTCTAAAGCACAGGTCTGAGCATGTCACCCCACTCCACCCCCCTTCAGTAAATTGCATTGTGATTCCTTATCACCTCCAGGTGGCTATTTGGCCTTCAAAGCCCATCATAACCTAGCCTCTCTTACCTTTCCTGTCTTCTTAGACCTTACTCCCTGCCATGTGCTCTTTGATCCAGTGACATTGTCTTCCTAGCTATTTCAGGAACAGTACTTCATCTTTTGGCTTTGGACATTTCCTCTGCCTTTCCCTCATACCTGGAATGCCTCTCCTTCCTCATCTCTGCCTCCTGGCTTCCCTGGTTTCCTTTATCATCTTCTACAAGGGGCCTTTCCCAAACCCTTTCCTTTCTTAATTATTTCATGTTAATCCTGTATGTAGCTTGTTTGTATAATTTTATTGTCTCCATCTTTTGAATGAAACATCCTTGAGGGCAGAGACTATCTTTTGCCTCTTTTTGTATCCCCATTGCTTAGCAAATTGTAGATGGTTAAATGTTATTGACTGACTGACAAACCATGGTAGATAATGGGTTCTTCTAGGAGATAATAGGGAGTTGAAAAAAATCAACTTCACCAATAAAGGATGGTGAAGGAAGGGTCAGCTGACACAATCTGTCTGAAAGAGATCTGGGATTATTCATGAACCTCAAACTTTAAGTATAAGTCAGCATGGCAGTCCAAAAAGTTAATGTGATCTTTGACTAACTTTAGAAGCATAGTGTCCAGAACACGGGGGAGAATAGTCTCCCTGGACTCTTCTCTTGTCAGACTGCACCTGAAGTATCATACACAATTCCCTAGCTTTGCCAGTACTCTAGAGGATCATCTCCTCAGTTTCCTCATCTCTAAAATGGGAATAGTAATACTCGTTGAAGCTATTTTGCAGGATTGTGATAAAGATCAAATGAGACAGTGTTCAATTTGTGAATTTTAAATTGCCTTATGTCAGCTGCTATTACTATTCTCTAGTCCTAACTGTTCATTGCTTTAGTTACCCTACCTAATGGGAGGATCGTTCCTAGGTATCTCTGGATTCAGATACTTTCCTGTGCAGAGCTCATTTTGACTTGGCCTCTCCCCAGAGTTTCCTTTTTCTGCAGACCATAGTCTATACACCATTATGTCTGCCTCTTAGTCCCAGTCTCATGACTGTATATCATGGCCTTTGGACCTAGATGTTCATTGACCTTCCTCTTGGCCCACAGGCCAGTGTCTTCAACTTAGCTTGGGCATCTACCTGCCAGGGAGAACTCCCTGATTTTTCTGCTTTTGTCTCAGTTAATGCCTTTTTAAAATGCATGGCTATACCCAGCAAAACTGAGTATAATCCTTCAGGGGAAAAAATGGTCATTCAGTGAAATAGAGGACTTTCAAGCATTCCTGATGAAAAGACCAGAGCTGAATAGAAAATTTGACTTTCAAATACAGGACTCAAGTGGAACATGAAGAGGTAAACAGGAAAGAGAAATCATAAGAGACTTATTAAGATTGAACTATTTACATTCCTGCATGGAAAGATGATATTTATAACTCATGAGACCTTTGTTAGTATTAGGGTAGTTGGAGGAAAAAAATTATATGTATGTATATGTAGATAGATAGATAGAGGGCACAGGGTAAGCTGAAGATTAAGGGGTCATATCTGGAGAATAAAATTAAGGG